TAAAGTTTCACAAACTAATTCAATTCTTATAGGAAAAAAAGAATATTATATGACTGTTCTTGATCTTACTACTATTAGTAAATTAGATCAACCTCATGAATTACGTGCTTTTGGAGTAATATTTGAAACAGAAATTACTCAAAAAAAACCAGGAATGATAGATGTTTATGATGGATATTTAGAAATGTTTAGACAAATTAATCGTGGTGTAATTATTTCATATGTTTCTTCATTTAATTATACTCCAAATATATTAATACCAATAACACGAGAAATTATAACTAAACCATTCCAACCACCAAAAAATGGAATAATGTATTTTGAATCAAAAATATTGAAAATAGAAAAATATCATATTCCATATTTATTTCCAATTCCTTATTTATCAGATGAAAAATATTCAATTGCTTTCTATTATAATGAAGCTCAAGATAGATGTCATATTATTGATATTATTTAATTAATAATATTTATAATTAAAGAAGGTAATAAAAAATTTATTCACTTAATTAATTAATTTAATTTTTGTTAATTTATTTCAAAGTCATCTGTTGTTGTATTAATAAATTTAGACATTCCAGTTTGATTTGTATTATATCCTATATCCGAATTAATTGTAGAAGTTAATGTAGTAGTTGTAGTTGTAGTAGTTGTTGTATTTGTTTTCATATTTGGATCTATAGATTCTTCTCTTAATTTTTGTGGAGATGTAATTTCTTTATTTTCTGCAAATGAAGGAATCAATTTTGCAAGTTCATTTTGTAAAATAATTGTAATATCTTTAAATGGAGGTCTTTTAGAAGGAATATGATCCCAACATTGAGTAATAATATTCCACCAAACATCAGTCATATTATCTTTACGTTCTAATCTTTTTCCTGCAATAACAAATTTAGCAATATCCCAAGGCATTTTAAATTGATCAGAAGAATAAGGTTTTCCTTGAATATATACTTCATACATCATAATAGCAAAACTAAATTGATCTGCTGTTATTGTATAAGGTTCTTTACTAAGTAATTCAGGTGCCATATATACAGGAGTACCTACTCCACAAGTATAATTTCCTTCATATTCTTGTACTGCTCTAGATGTACCAAAATCAGTTATTTTACAATTAACTATCATTGGATTAATTTGATCTACACAAAACATTAATAAATTATCAGGTTTAAGATCTCTATGAATAATATTAAAAGAATGCATCATTGTCATACCTTTACAACAATCAATCATAAATTTTAATTTTTGTTCATAAGTTAATTTAATTTTCTTTAATATATGACCTAATGATCCATTAGGAGCAAATTCAATTGCTATACACATTTTTTTTTCAAGATACATGCTCCAATAAATCCAACAATATATGGTCCTC